GGGAAGTTTTGTGGCCGTTGCTTGCAAGACATGGGAGTTCCTTGGTAAATAGCGACAAGGGACCAATTCGAACTCCTTTGCTAAACTCTGGAGCATGGATTATAACCTTCAATACTTCCCAATACCTCCACATACGACCATAGGCACTTGAGAACTCGGCATCCCGTCCGCTCTGCCCTAGATAAGCAAGCGACCGCCAGACTAGTAGTTGGGTGGGTGACCACCAGCGAATCCCTGGTGTTGTATGTAATTTTCTTTTTTTGTCCCTTTGAGCGAGTCAGTTGTTGACTCTCTCCACTTTTTACCCCTGAGTTTTGCACGCGGCGTCTGTGTAAACCAACGTGCAACCCGTCATGCAACTCAATTACCCCAATCCCTCGAGAGGAGTCCCGCACTGACCACAATGGTTCAGTTTCTCATCGGTTGAAATTCTGTTCCCTTCAAATGATATACATCGATCGACCTCCGATAAATGGTAAAACTCAGCTCCTAGCTCTATGCTTCTCAAACTGCCGGCAGACTTCAAACATGCTCTCAGGCCACCAGTCCTCGTCCCTGTTCCACATCACTCCTTGCCATCGCGCGTCCTTCCTGAAAGAAACAATGCGCTCGAGCTCCCAGGCGCCGACGCACCCAATCCACCACACGTTGTCGAGCAGAATGACCAAGACAAGCCAGTGGGCAAAGATGTCGAGAGCCAGCTGACGCGCTAGGCTCAGGTCAGGCGGCGTCATGGACCCCGCCCCGTTAAACGAAACCGTCTGGATGATGCTGAGCATGTCTTCGATTGTGTTCAGATACCTGACGGGGGCTTTGTGGACAAAGGCCATGATGACGCGTCGAGGGAGTCGGGAGGGCATCATGGAGGTTATGCTGGCCGCGTAGCGACGTAGCCAGGGCGAGACCTTCGCAATTTGGCCACCTACCGGGTCGATGTTGACCTCAAAAGGGAGGGGCTTGTTGTGGTTGAGTTGGCTGGACACGGAGTCCTCGGCGGGGAAGGTCTCGGCGACGACGCTGTCAAGGAGATCTAACGCTGCGCAGCATGCTTGTATGTCGAGGTTGGTGTTTGTATCTTCGCCTCCCACGCCACTCGCCAGGCCAACGCTGGTCATCTGGCGGGCTTTTTTACGAAGTTTCGCCATGGCGGAGCCGACTGTGGCGGCTAGGATGGGACTTAGTGCGTGAGCTGGGGGAACTCGCGGCTGGTCGATGCGAGATGACACTTTGTACTCGTAGGTTGATTGCGAGCTGCTGCTGCTACCGGTAAAGAACTTTGGCATGTACTCGACAGGTGAGCGAGAACGAGTCGGGCTGATTAGGGTGGTGTCGTCGGTGATAGGTTTGTTGAGGATGCCGAGGTAAGCGAGGTGCGCGGCGCGGAACAGGCTGATCCACTGGGTATTTTTGGGCATGATATCAGATAGGGGCTGGTCGCCCATGGCAGCGGTCTTGACGAGCCAGATGCGCACACAGTGGCTGCCGGACCCGTACATGCCCATCATGGCCGCGTTGGCCAGCACGCAGTCGTACTGCTTCGCCTCGGGGAGCGCCGCCTGTGTCTCCTGCAGGGACTTCATGTGGTGACAGTCGGCGAGAGCAAGCAGCTCGAGGACCTGTTCGCGGTCTTGGTGCGAGACGGACGGCTGTTGGATGATGTCACGACACTTACATACTGCTGCTATGGCAAGTACGGATCTCATCAGGGGCTGGCTCTGGCACGCTAGGTTGGGGATGCCGACTTGAAGGGTGTACTGCTCTTCCTTGTCAATGGTGGCGTCTTTGCTGGTGTGCTCGATGAAGTGCTTGAGCAGCTCAAATTCCGCAGGGGCAAGAGTCTGCGCCACCTGTGACTGCAGCGGCGAGTCGAGCCCGGTGTGCTTGGGTAAGGGGGGCAGCGGGGGGTAGGGAGTGACGCCTGATGTTGGAGACAATGGGCTCCCGAATCTCGTGGAGGAGTCGAGGGAGCGCCCGGAGCCTTCAGGACTGCTTATGCCCGATTCTGCTCTGGAAAACTCGAGCTGCGCAACCTGGGGGTCTACTGGCTCTACCCAGTTGTGATGAAAGTCCTCTGCGGCAAGCAGGCTGGCCGGTCGTTTGGGGTACTGGCAATTCAGGTTCTTCTTGTTACACCTGGAGCACCGTGGAGTGACCTCGTCGCACTGCGTAAGGTACGCGGCATTGTTAGCGGATGCACGGTTGCCGTGTCTCGCCTATACGCTTTGTGCGTACCTTGATCCTGCGCTCCTTGCATTTCGTGCAGCCATATCTAGACTTAAGATGCGGCCTGCGGGTCTTGTGGTGCTCGGTCTTGTTGTGGTCGGTCCGACAGCTCTCGCCAGGATCTGATACCTGTATCTCGTCCATATGCACCAGCTTGACTGGATGTTGAATCTGGCTTCCTGTTATTTTAGATATCTAGACCCAGTGTCAGGTAATTATCTCGAGTGCCAACGGCGGGAATATGTGTGTTTTATTCGCAGACACGGTGCAGTTAGCTTCGTGATGGAGACTGACCATCCGTAGCAGCTGCAGGTTTTCAAGTTCCCAGATAGCTGGATCCAGGGGGAAAGGCGGGTTTCCACAACACAGCCCTCTGTATTTGGAATGGTTTATAGCTCGTGTTCGTCTTGAAGAGATCTCGAAGCATCTCATACGTCACGGGAGCTGCGCCTCTCAAATTTCAATGCCAGCCATTAGAGACGTAACCTGACCGCTAATTTGATGTACTGTGGGCGGGCGGGCTGTGTAATCACATCGGTCGTCGATTTTGATGGCACCCCTTTGTGGCTCACAACAAGCTCGTTCATGTTCCACCAAACACAGTGACTCATTTGGTAGCTATCACGATAAGACCCATCCAGGTGGTATCGTGGGTTTTCCAGTCAAGAACCGCGCATTCCCGCCAGGCACTAGCAGCGGGGTGCGCGTGCAGGGTAGTAGGCATAGAACAAGACCGAGTCTTGAAATGTCGGGAGCCAAGGCGTGTACCTTACTCAGCCTCTCCAGCTTGACAGGGGCTCTGGTCTCGGGTTTCCCCAGGAGATGCACCTCGGCCGGTGCACCCGGTGCTTGAAACTGGCATTCAATTGATTATATCCGCCAGACTCAGCGTGATGGGCACACTCTGTAAATCCGGAATGTGGGAGCTGCCTGGCCAAGATGACGAATGCCAGTGAACCCAGATCCCCGGAATCGTTCAGTTTGTACTTGTATTTCTAAGCTCTCATCTGGAAAGGGACAATGAATCGGTCTTGGCGTGATTGGTCTGCTTGGCTGCAGAAGTCGGCCACTCTCGGTGCTGCAAAGTCCCGGTCTGCCCGCCGTCAGCTTACCCTTCATGTTTGGATCGGGACTAGCATCCCACAATTGAATCCATGTCGGCGAGCCTGTGCAAATGCCGTGCACTCAGCTGCTCAAGGCTCCGTGATCGCTCCCCGCAAACTGCACTGGTCTTCATTCCCACTAACTGGATAATATCTGATCAAAATAGGCAGGTCCCAAACAGCTTCTCGGAACGTGCCCCGGTATAAGAGAATCGCTGCTAAACCCGTGACCGTTGCCAATTATTCATAAAGAATACCAGCCAGAGACCTCAGCCACCTCTCTAGATACATGTAATTCACCAAGGTAAGCCCATGCTGAAGAGGCGTGGTATGACGTAATACGCCGCATTAGTAACCTGCGTATCGGATACGCTATGTGTACCTGATCCTTCGCTTGTGTATAACTCATCTGGGATCATTTGCGTGTGGACATAGCTGATTCCGAACTGCGTATAGAGCCCATTGGTTACGATATTGTTGACAGCGAAGCGTATCTTGAACGGCCAAAGACATCATGTTCCTGGCAGTTTGGTACGATGAAGCTAGATCGGTGTCTTATCCAAGCATCAACCTTCAGCCTTTTCTCATCATATAAGTATTGCTTGTTTGATCGTAAGCAATTGTTTTGAACCGACTTAACTCCAACAGAATACCGCAAGTTTTCAGGCCTGTAACCTTACTGTGCAAATAAACACCTTCACAATAAAGCTGTGAACACGCGAAGTTATGAAGTTAAACTTGCTTGTCGAGACATGGCTCTTCAGCTTTGCCATCGCCTTCCCGGAGCCAAAAGGTCATGAGTGGCATCCGCCAGGGCGAGAGGATAGTCAGTCTCTCCAGGACGCCCCTTCTATCCCTATGGTGGAAACAAACTAAATCAATCACAGGCCGGTCCCCCTGCCCCGGCCTCAACGCCATGGCGAACCACGGTTGGCTCCCTCGCTCCGGCAAGAATATCGACCTTGCTGCTCTCCGCTATGGTGTCTCCCACGCATACAACTATGTGCCCACCGCCTTCGACGGGGCCTTCCAAGCAGCTGTGGACTTCAACCTCACGACCACGGGGAACAGGTCGACCATCAACCTCTATGATCTCCACCGGCACAACGAAATCGAGTTCGACGGGTCACTGTCGCGCAACGACGCCTTCTTCGGCAACGACAACGACTTTGACTTCCGTATCTGGGGACCCGTGGCGGACCACCTGCAGCTCTACGACGCTGACGGCCCGGGCAAGACTGACAAGTATGTCACCATCGATCTGGCTGCCAAAGCTCGTGCTGCGCGCATCAGGGACGCCAGCAGTGTCAATCCTGATTTCAAGTACACCGAGGTTGGCAGCATCGGCACGACGGCTCTCTACTTGACGACACTGTGGGATGACAGGGTCGGTGCGGCGCAGAAGGCATTCGTCAAGGCGTTCTTTGAGAATGACCGCATCCCATATCTTGAGGGTTATGCGCCGCCGCAGAAGCCAAAGACTGCCGATTTGCTCAATTCCATCCTCGGAAAGGTCAAGGCTGTGAAGGTTTAAATTGGAGACGGCTGGACCGGTCATGTTGATCTTTTATTGTACCAGTTCTTGACCATGAAAACATCATGCTCGTCGTCAATGTCAGTGTTTGTTACTACATCCATGCTCTGCAGTGACAAAAAGAAGCAAAAAGAAATATGTGCCATCGACTGGAATCGAACCAATGTTGTCCGCGCGCTTTACTTCTCAATGGCCCCGGAGGGTATGGAAGGTGTTAAGCCACAAGCGGAAGTACTGACCACTATACTACGATGGCTTGAAGGCTCAAGACATTGAATTTGTTAAATAAGGACGATGGGCCGCTACTTGTGATGATTGAGTGGCTGAAGTTGGTGTTTGCAGTTTGGCAGTTGACATATCTGTTTCCACAAGAATCCTTGTAGCCAGGCTATTCGTTCAACGAACTGATTGTAATGTTTATTTTTTGACAGTGCTCTGAAGTTTTCCCGTCCAGAGACCCGTTGCTTTGATCTCTCCTTGAGATAATAGCACGAGAGAGTTGATGCATGTTTAAAAGGACACCATGCACGTTGGAACAACTGTCGCAGTCCCACTGAGCTCAGGGCGCAATGATGCCAAAGTGCTCATACGGAAACTCTTCCAAGCTACAAAGCTGCTCCGCCCACCCATCATCGAGATCTCCAAGTTGATGCTCATCGCCAATCTTCACCAAGCCTGTCCTGCCGGCTAGAACTTCCCTCTCCTTCCCCTTGTATTCTGCAGCTAGGCACGGATGCGGGACCCAGACAGCCCGCATGCCCGCCCTCCTGCCAGCCTCGAGGCCGGGGACGCTGTCCTCGAAAACGAGACACTCGTTGGGCAGGATCTTGGGCACGCCGTCTGGCAATGTGGCGTTGATGGTTTCCAGTGCCAGCAGATATATGTCGGGCGCCGGCTTGCCTCGGCCGCGTTCGATTCGAGGGTCGTCTCCCAAAATACGCCTGTTGGTGGGGATGAGATCCATGAGCTTCTTGGTCTCTGGCCGGACGATTTTCTTGTCAAAGTTGGCCTTCTCGCTGCTCGTGGCAAGAGCGATCTCGACTGGTTGATCATCCCTGTTCCGTGCGACTCGAAGGTGATCTAGAAGGCCCAGGGCGCCAGGGAGGGGTCTGCATTTGGGGAAGTACAACCCCTGCAGCTCCCCTTGCTCTTTCTTGTACTGCTCGCGCGAGATGGGCAGCTGGGCCCAGGCGTGGAAGACGTCGCCGTTCGACGAGCCGGGCACGCCCATCATCCTGGCCTTGATGGGCCATGGGAGGTGAGGGCGGCCGTACTTGGTCAAGACATGGTTGGCGCATTGCGAGTAGATGTCTTCGGTGTCGAGAAGCAGGCCGTCCATATCGAAGAGACAGGCCCGGATTGCGGGGAAGCTGCGAAGGAGTCAAGTCGCTTACTGTCAGCTGGTGTTTCTAACCCGTCTATGAAACGGCTGCATTGCATGTTACCTGTTGGGCTGCGTTGGTGCCATCATACCAACGTTGACAATGTGCCAGTGAAACGTGAATGGCAGGTAAGGACCTGTAGTGTACACTGTAGTGTGCAGACTTGTTGGCTGGCTGATAATTACCTGGTAATTAGCCTGGATCAGGGAAGCCATCCATCCCGGGAAGAGCTTCCGAGGTTCGGACACCACAGTAGTCCAACCTTCCTAACTCGAACGGGTTCAAGACCCACTAGATAACATGCCACAAAGTCTACGGCCAGCAAGTGACCACTCTGGCTTGTCCCTAAGTGAAATCTTATGACCGAGTCTAACTTACGTTGTACAAGTGCTGGACATGTACAGGGCGCGGCAGTTCACAATGCAACAGGTGCTGAATCCGACAAGGACAGTTCCAGTCAATCCAGTCTATCTCGACAAGACGGGAGAGAGAACATGCAAGAGTGATCCAGTGCCAGCATGCAGCAAGACAGTCCCTCCCCCCCTTTCGTGGCAAGGACGAGCTGTGGCTTTTTTAGCATTTCGTAGCGTTCTCAAGCTCACCACAAAACAGGGATTAAAGAGCGGCCGGAACGCATCGTGGACCGCGCCAACGATGGCTTGCTGCAGCAGCGCACCATCCGGGATTGGTAAGTTAGGCCGACCTGCATAATCGGCGACAAATGCCGGTGTGTCACGAATGCCCATCCAGCCACACACGCTCCAGGTAAAGTTAGGGGATCCTTACTGACGTCGCCGCCACTGAGGGGTTTTCGATTTCTTTTCTCGAGTCTTTGTGTTTTGTGTTCCCAGTTTTGCTCCCGTCAACCACACAACCTTATTTCATCGTTACGCGGTGCAACAGTGGTACTACCCGGTAGACCTACCCTTACCCACATCCCCTAAATTCATCCACCAACCCACCATCACGATGTCAGACACGGCCCAGAAGAGCCCGTCTCCACGTTCAAGCCCGCGAGCCGCTGCCGGCGGCGCGCCTCCCACAGTCCTGGAAGCTGATGTAAGAGGCGGTGTGGGCAGTTGATATGAGAGATGAAGTCCACCGCTGACATGCTCAATCCACATGCAGCCCGATGCGTATGAAGACGACGGCGACTCTGCCTTTGGCCCGGTGAGGAACCTCGTTTCATGCATCCATACACATTGACGTACAAAACACATGAACTATAAACTGACTGTATTTACTGGACCTAGAGTGATCAGGGCAGCGAGACAACTTCGTTAGCATCGAGCATTTACAGATTCCGCGAGGAAAATGGACGCACCTACAACGCATACAAGGAAGGAGGTGGGTCTTTCATGCCCCGGAGCAATGGAAAGAAGACATGAATGATCTAACCAAGACGCATCCGACATTAGCATACTTCCTGCCCAATGACGAAGTTGGTGCTTTTTTTGAGTCGAATGTACCACAGCTTGTTTGTTGACAGAAGGTGTCTTTCGTAGTCAGAGAACTCTCGCCTAGGTGAGAAGGAATCGCAACCCATCGACGCACGCAGCGGGAACAAGGCTGACAATCGATGTGCACTCAGATCTCCAGCATAATCTGTGCATCCTCATGCAGGACAACAGACTGTTTATTTCCCCGGCCGGAAAAGACAAGCCGCTGGGCAGAGTGCTCGACGCCGGCTGCGGGACGGGCATCTGGGCGATTGACTTTGGTACGTGCCCCAGAAAGATGGTCAGACAAACCCGAGCCAAGCAGCTAACATGTCTTGTTCGGCAACAGCGGACGAGCATCCCGAGTCATCAGTATGTCTGTTCCATGTCTGCGATCATGCTTATCGCCACTAACGTTTATGTTCTCCTCAGGTTGTTGGAGTTGATCTCAGTCCCATTCAGCCCCCTTTGTAAGTTCCGAGTCCCATTATGGCCACACTTCCCCAGCTTGAACGGTTCTGACCATGCATGCTGACATCCGGTACAGTGTTCCACCCAACCTACAGTTCTTGATCGACGATCTCGAGTCAGAGTGGACTTACACCACCCCGTTCGACTTCATCTACATGCGTCTCCTCTGCGGGTCCATCAAGGACTGGCCAAATCTCTTCAGGCAGTCTTTCCAGTAAGACATGTTCAAGTTCTCCTTCTCAATCCTCATTAACCATGGATTCTCGACACCCTCCCATCTTTCCATGCAAGATTTGTGCGCAGAGCTACCTGACCTTAGTCTGATAACATCAACTTGCACCAGAAATCTCAACCCCGGTGGCTACATTGAGGTCTGCGACCCTCTCAACCCCCTGATCTGCGACGACGGCACGCTCCCCGCCGACTGCGCACTGGTGAAATGGAACCACTTGTTCGTCGAGGCGTCGATCAAGCTCGGCGCGAGCTTAATCTCGGTGCGCGACTACGAGAAGCAGCTCGTCGAGGCCGGGTTCATCAACGTCGAGAAGGTCGAATTCAAGTGGCCTATTAATTCGTGGCCCAAGGATAAGAAGTACAAGGAGCTAGGTAAGATCCAGCCCCAAGTTAGGTGAATAGTTGTCGATTGGACTTGGAGGAGCTGACATTTGCTAGGCTCGTGGGTCTACGAGAATATCCTGGAGGGTCTCCAGGCGCTCAGCTTGATGCTCTTCACCAACGTGCTGGGCTGGACCCCGGAGGAGCTAGAGGTGTTCCTAGTTGATGTTCGCAAGGACCTGAAGAACAGGTCGATACACGCGTACTGGCCCTTGTGAGTTTTGACTTCGCCGACGGATGGAACACTTGAATGCTCTGTAGCTAATCGACCTTTTCCTGCAGCTATATCGTATACGGACAGAAGCCGGAGTGAGACACTGGCGGGCGGCTGCGGGTTGGATATGGTATTTCCCTCCTTTTAGCACTGAATTGGTCTTGTGGAAGACGTGGGCGTGTCTGGCAGTTCGATACGGGTGTCCTTGAGCCTATGGCACGTAAGAGTGTCGTTACGGGACACGACTAGACAAGAAGGGAGATGTACGTAGGAGCAGTCGACGTCGTTGCGGAGTTTGGAATCGCAGTTGGGCGGAGATCCTGGAAGCTGAAGTATGATATCAAGTCACCGAGAACCTGGAAATTAATTCATCAAGAGATTCGAGAAAGAAGTTGACAAAGCCGCGGATGCCAAGACCAGATTGCATCTGAATGATGGAGACTCCAACAACACCCAGTAGAAGATGGTCTTCTTGCCAGGCTGAATAAAACTGACTACATCCCCGTCCAACTAGTCCTTCCTCACACATACCCCCTGGAGGTTGCACCACTCCTTGATGCTCAACAACCCACACTCCACACCAATGCCGCTATTCTTATGGCCAGCAAACGAGCCCTTCGGGCCACATTCCAAGTGTGTGTTCACCCAAACAGTTCCCGTCTCCATTCTCCTCGCCATCTTCTCCGCCCTCAGGACGTCCTTGCTCCAAACCGAGCCACCAAGCCCAAACAAGGTCGCGTTCGCCCGCTGCAGAACATCCTCCTCGTCAGACCACTTCAGCAGAGGCACGATGGGGCCGAACTGCTCGTTCGCGACAATCTGGGAGTCCTCGGGGGGATTGTCGATGATCCTAGGCGGCAAGAAGAACCCGGCGTCGGTCTTGGTCGCGGCATCGGGCTTGAAGGACGAGACAGCGGGGATGGCGCTCTTCCACCCTTGCGTCTCGATTTGGGAGTACAGTTCTCGCAGTTTGGCGTACTGCATGCTGTTCTGCACCGGGCCGAGCATGGTCGAGGGGTCGTCGCTAGGTCCGACTTTCATGGTCTGCACGAAGGCCACCATGGCCGCGAGAAAGGCGTCGTAGATCTGCTCGTGCACGTAGACGCGCTTGATGGCGATGCAGACTTGGCCCGAG